TTGTCCAGCGTTCTGCTTATTCTGAAATAAAAGTGTTTAAAGAAACTGGCAGTGTGGATAAGAAGCAGCGAGTAAGAGCTAATAAGGTAACAGATGAAAGGAATAAGATAAATATCTTAGCAGCAGTTTTACCATAAATCCACATGTCAGTATAAGATATCTTGAACGCGCAAGCGGTATTAATCGAAGTAATATTGTAAAGATCCTACATCGTAATAAGTTCCTTTTCATGTCTCTCTCCATCAAGAATTACACGGAACAGATTTTGAAAGTCGCATAAGGTTTTGTGAGTGAGGATTGCGGAAACTTCGAAATGATACATTCCTCAAAAAAGTTCTTTTCTGACAAAGCATCTTTCATTAACTATGGTCAAATCAATTTACGTAATTCACATTATTGGTCCGTAGAAAATTCACGGTGGTTAAGAGAGATTGATAAACAAAAATCTTGGTCAATTAACGTTTGGTGTGGAATTGTTGATAATAAAATTATTGGTCCATATTTCATTGAATAGTGATAAATACAAAAAATTTTTAGTGGAAATGCTGCCCATCTTATTAGAAGATGTCTCATTAGACGTCTGGCAGGCCTTACGGTACCAATATGATGGTTGTCCAGCCCATTCACGTGCTATAACTATCATTTTAAATAGAAAATTCAGAAATCGTTGGATTGGACGAATAGAAAATCATAAATGGCCACCACGATCGCCGAACTTGATACCACTAGATTTCTTTTTATGGGGAAAATTGAAAGCAGATGTGTATCATAACGCACTGACTACTAAAGACATGAGGGAACGCATACAACGAGCTTGTGGTGCAATCGATCACACTTCAATGTGTAACACAATCTGGGTAAACGTTTTAGACAATGTCTTACCGTAGACGGTCAACAATTTTGAACATCTGCAGCGGACTGTTATCGCTGGTAAAATAATTTTTTTTATCTAATACTTTTTTATGTATTTTCTTCCCATCATTTGATTCATCTCATTATTCTGTTCATAAAAGTATTAAGATATGGTTATCAAAAAATTAATAGTTTACGAATTATTTAATATTTTATGTCAATATGTGCCACAATAAAATATAAAATATCTCGTAAACTATTGATTTTTTGATATCGCTATCTTAATATTTTTATATGCAGAATAATTAGAGGAATCATATTATGTAAAAAAATTCACATAATTCCATTTATAAAAATGAAGTTGACCTTCAAATCTTCTAGGCACCTCCAGAAAAAATGTTCATCACTATACGATGCCCCTCTCGAAACCAAACAATTTTTATTTCAAGCATTTCTTCCTATCCTCAAAACTGTGGGTATTATTCGGGTGGCCGGTCTTAAGTGGGACACCCTATATAAGCTCATTGTATATATTCTTAGTGAATGCTTGGTTTTTACAAGAAACAGCTAATTATATAGACATTAGACTTATAGATGATTAAGTGCATTAATTAATTTTGCTGAGCTTAGACATTTCTATCTCCGGCACTGCAGTGGTGCATTATGCTCGCTTCGCATCGAGTGCGATAGATTCTACATTCGGACGTACAAAAACAGGATCATTTGGATGCATCCATAACTTTATAGGAATAATCACAATATATTTGCAGGAATCTGGTAACGAGGATTACATCATATGCTGAAAATTATGTGGAAAGCTCTCTCTTTTCCTATGCATTAATACTATGGCTTTATAAAGGTAATTAATTAAAGATCAATTATATATATATAATAAGTAAAAAATATGCAAAAAACAGGTATGCCGAATTTGAGGTTCCGTTGAATGAATGCAGTTTATGTAATGTGAGAATAAATCGTCATTAGTGTCTGTGCTTCTTTTCCTTAATATTTATAATAGGAAAAACTGAAGTAAGTATATAATATAGACTGATGCTATCAGATTAGACTTTATAATATTAACTCTTTCCGAATCGATTATTATATTATTTTAAGTGTAATTTATATATAAGTGATATCGTGATTTGAAGATTCAAGTGGCAGTAAGATGTAAATTCAGATACATAGCATAATAAACATGGTTACACATAGTCTGCATAGTAAACCTGATTAAATATTACGCATGGTCTGCACAAGATGATTTACTTCAGACTTGTAATATATAATGACATTTAGTAATGTTATGCTTGATTGATACAAACATAACTTTATGGCGATCACTTAAATTAACAATTACAGTCGTACTGAATTAATCTGGATATAATATTATTTAAATTCTTTTGTACGTTATTGGCTCTTTGCCCTTCTATACTATCTTTTGTTATAAGTACAGAATCTTTTTAATACTTTTAATTTTATATACGCGGGCGAAATAATGCGTCATTGTCATAAATATTTTAATTTCTCTTTTTCTTATATTCGATATGAATATGGTTTTGAAATTTGTCAATTTTTAAAAGAGTTTTGTAACCTAATTAAATTGAGTGTTAATATTAGAACTCGCATCAGATTCTTGAAATCTTGCATTAATTACAATTTAGTTTCTCCACATCTTAAAAGATACACGAATATTAGAAGTTTAGCTTTGTTTAATAGTCATTCTTACAGAAGACTTCAGAGAATACAAGTTAATAATGTGAAAGTAATTTTGCAATTAGAATTGAAGGACTCTTACAATCACTTACATTGTATCAGAATGAGCATCTTTGATTTTTCCTTTAAAATCCATAATGTTTTGCCAGTCTCCATGGTTTGCGAATTTTTCAAATATTTTTAGACAATATTAACTTTTTTCAACATAAGAAGAATTGATAAAAAAATTCTATGGTTAAAGGAAAAAGATTTGAAAAATAAAAGAGCAAATATTAAGCCAATTTCTTATGTTTGTGCTTCGAATAATGAATTGCTAAATAAAATTACATCTAACAATGTCATTAATGACATTTCTTTACAGGGTATGGAAAAAATACATATTTCGGCTGAACTGTTTGGAGATGCGGCTCCTCTAGATTTTTTAAATAACAAATGGTTCCTCAATTTGAGCAATATTGACATTCCTATAGAAGTCCAGTATCTGCTTCAGTTGGGGGAAGGCTTTGGCCTTCCTATTACTAAACATAATATTGATAGAACATTAATTGAGTTCATTAAGAATATTGAGAATAATATTATTGGTCGTCAGAATAATATAATTAATTTCATTAGAAATAATACGGTTTCAATTCTGGAGAAGTTTCAGAATGATTTTCCTAGGATTGGTTCGAATGATAAATTATTATTTGATTGGTTTAAGACAACAAAATTATTTGTTAGAAATCATCCTGAAATATTAATTTCTAAAGCAGATAAAGGTAATGTTACTGTTGCTCAAAATAAACTAGATTACATATCCAAGATGGAATTGATATTTTCAGATAAAAATACACATGAGTTGATAACTAAAGATCCTACAAAAAAAACTTAGTGATTCACATAACATGCTTAGTAGGTGGAAAGGAAAAGGGTTAATAGACTTGACGTATCGGAAGTTGCGTACGACTGATGGGATCATTCCTAGAGCATATGGTTTAACAAAGATACATAAACAAAACTATCCTTTGAGAATCATTGTTTCATCTTTAAATAGTCTATTATATAATTTATCATTGTTTCTGCATAATATAATTACAGATTCTATACCAGAGACTCCTAGTTTTATAAAAAATAGCTTTGACTTAATTAATAAACTTACGGATGTCAAACGGAACCAGATTCTATTGGTTTCCTTGGATGTGGTATCTCTATTTACTATTGGGAGTACAAATTAGTTCGGTTCGTTTTTTTGTGTTCAAAAATGCATTTACTTCAAAACAAAATGAATGAACAGATTAATTAAAGATTATTGTCCATCGCTGGCTACTACTTTTTCCCATTTTTCAGGCAATTTTCGAATTCCATCTCGAAAAAATGACTCGTCTTTGGAAGCGATCTAATTTTGGAGAAGTGACTTGCCAAATCGTGCTGCATCCTTCGGAACAATCAATAATCAGAAGGAGCAATGTCCGGAGAATACGGCGGGTGCGGTAAAACATCCCATTTGAGCGTTTCCAAATATTTTTTTATGACTTTAGCGACATGAGGGCGAGCGTTGTCATGAAGAAAAATAACTTTATCATGTCTTTGCTCGTATTCCGGCCGTTTTTCTCGCAATGCACGGCATTTTTTTCTCAAACGAATCAATTGTAGCCGATACTGATCGCCCGTAATGGAATCATCAGGATTCAGAAGCTCATAGTAAACAACACTCTTTTGGTTCCACCAGATACAAAGCATGGTCTTCGAACCATGAATGTTCGGCTTTGGTGTTGACGTTGAAGTCGATGGCAACGATTGACCGGGCTTAGCGTAGTATTTTTT